GAAGCCCAGCAAGTTTATTGGATGGATGATTGCCATTCATTTACTGTATGGAGGTTAAGAACGCAAGATTTGCAGTCAAGCAGAACCGTTTTCAACTACAGCTTCTCCATGTCTCAGCTATAGCCATAGGACCATGGCAAGTCACTGACTTTTCTGAGTCACACTGTCCTCATCTGTAAAATAGGGATAACAATGCTCCATACCCTATGCTGTTGTTGCAATTATTATTTTAGTAGGAGCAGTAGTAGATACCGAAGTATATCTCACCCCAAACTCTGTTTATTCTACTGTAACACACTGCATTCTTTTTTTCTCTCTCCCTTTTTCACATATATCTTTTTCTTTCCTTCTCTTCAACACAGTTTTTCTTCGCCTTCCTTCCTATCACACATCCATAAAGCCTCTGGCTTTCAGTAAACACACACATACTTGGCCTACTACCTATCTGTTTGTCCCAGTCTTCCTCACTCACATTTACTAAGCACCCCACGACCCAGAGCTGGGATAGGAGAGCTTAGCCTTCCAAACACGTGTTTGATTGTTTTTGGTTTGCATGTTCCTGCACCAAGAAAACGGATTTGAGGGTCTCCAGTAGTTAAGCTAATTCAATATAATTTTCCATTTTTGGTGTTTTAGCTGGTATAGAGGTTTCAGGAAGGAAAGAAAGCTGGGTTAGGCGTATCCAGCTCAACTCCCATGTGCTGCCTTTTACTTCTGATTTAATTCCCTGGATAAAGTGCCCTTTCTGGCAACAGGATGAATATCTTCATCTAGAAGTTTGGCTCGCTGGCATATAAAGACTTTTATAACCCCAGTGCTTATCTCTCTCCACCCCAGGCTCCCAGCCCCTGGTAGGGCACAGTGGCAGGCATTGTGTGCTCAACAAGGTTTCACACCCACTGGGAATCTGAAACACAGACATTATTTACCCTGCAGAGACCTTTCTGCAGACCTGCAGGGCCAGTGCCAAGGTGGCTGCATCACATCTGCCCCCACTGGGCTGCGAGAAAGACTTCCTTACCCAACCTCACTATTCAAACTCCTGAAATAAGACAGGTAGAAACCACTGGCTGGGCAGAAGGCTGATTTCCAGAGCTTCGGGGCAGAGTAGGGCTGTGCTGGCATCTTTTAAGAAGTGGATCCTGAGAAACCTTTCTTCTATAGTCATTTCTATTTTTAGGACAGTTCCATACCCTGGAAGCCTCTGTTATCCTTCCTTGCTTGAAGAGGCAACCGAAGAGTTTTCCACTGACTTGTCAAATGTTCTCCTTATAGTATTTATTTGTTTGGATTTATGCAACAGAGGTTTAGTTTTGACTTTTTTTCACCCCCAAGCACATGCAGGTTAGGACAGGAGTGCTAAAAATATTCATAGTTGTAACCAAAAACATTCAGTAGACTTGATTATTTGCACATATACATAAAAAGCAAATTGGCCATTGCCTCTGCCTCTAGGCTCTTATTTACCTTAATGTGGACAACTTTGTAGAAGGTCTTGTAACAAACCAAAGGAGCCATCGAAAGTAAGCCATTCATTTTAGCTATGAACTTGGATGAACTTTGTTCTGTTGCTTGATATGAATTAGAGCCCAGGAAACTTAGAAATAGCATTATTCTGTCCTTGGAAATAAAGCACCCACTTTCCCTTGGGGTCAAAGGTTTTGGTCACCCACAAATATACAGTCAAATAATTTTCAATAAATGCACCAATGCCATTAAGGGGGAAATGAAAGTCTTTCCAACAGTTGCTGCTAGAACAATCAGATATTCCCATGAGAAAAACATAGAACCTCAAACCCTACCTCAGTGCTATCCACAAAAATTAATTTGAGGTGAGTCATTGACCTAAAAGGAAAAGCTTAAACTATAAAAGCTTTAGAGGAAAATATCTCCAAAACTCAGGATTCTTAGTTCACAGAAAGTAATAACCATGAAAAAAAAATTTTAATAAATTTCATCAAATTAAAGTTCCATGAGTCCATGAGTTTTTGCTCATGGAAAGGCAATGTTAAGAAAATTAATAGGCAAGCAACAGATTGGAAGGGAACACAACACATATATTTGTCAAAGGACCTGTACCCAAAGTATATAAAAACCCCTAAAATTCAATAATAAAAAAAACCCCGATTTTAAAATGGGCAAGGCACTTGAACAGACACTTTGCACGGAAAGATGTACAAATGACTAATAAGCACAAGAAAAAGTTCTTAACATCACTTGTTATCATGAAAATTCAAATTAAAAGCGCAATGAGACATCCACCCACTTCAATGGCTAAAATACTTTAAAATTGACACCACCAAATGTTGGTGAGAATCCAGAGCAACCAGAATCCTCAACTGCTGCTGGAAATGTAGAATAAATCACCTACTTCAGGAAGGTGTTTGGCAGTTTCTCAGAAAGTAAAACATGTATCTACCCAATGAAACCATTTCCACTCCTATTTGTTTATCCAAGAGAAATGAAAACACATTCACAAATTGTCAGTTTCCTTTCTCCATATCTTTACCCATGTCATTCCCTTCTGGAATTCCCTTTTTCCTATCCCATCCCTGATTTCTGCACGTACAAATACTATGCAGTCTTAATGTCCTGTTTTGAGGAAGCTTGCTGGTTCCCTTCCCTTCTCTTTATCCTCCAGACCTCTTCTGTACTCTTCCTGTGTTTCTCATAGAACATCACTTTTCACACTGGTTACATATGGCATATCGCCAGCCAGTCTCTAAGCTCCCATCCGACCTGATCCCTCTGGTCTGATTTATCTTTGCACAGCACTCAGAGCTTTACAGTACCGAATGAATGACTGAGTGGACACATATTCATCCAATGACACGCTGGACTTACGGTCAGATCTTGGTCCAAATGCTGGCTCTGTCCAATGATGTTGGATAAATTCTCTGATCTTATTTGCCTTTATTTAAAATAAAATAACTTAATGACTGTGGTAGACTCTTACTTTGGGGGGGCTCCCAATGAAGTATGCCACCCAACTTCCATGCCCTTGTATGGTCCCTTCACACACTAACTCGAGGCTTGGCCACATGTCTTGCTTTGACCAGTGGAACATTAGCAAGAAAAGTCCTGATGAGCACTGCACATTGGGGCTTATCTTGGATGGATGGCTCTTGGCAGCCCTGAGCTGCCACGTCAGAAGTCAGACTACACTGCTGGAGAGACCACACAAAGAGACCATGTAAGGAGGCCACATGAAAGTAGAGAAACCTTGACCCTCCATGGAGAGGAAGAGAAGGCTGGCCATCTCAGAGTCCCAGCTGAGCCTAGGCCAGAGTGCAGGATGATGAGAGAAAATAAAATGGTTGTTCTTTAAGCCAGTAGGTTTTTGAGTGATTTGTTTGGAGATGTCACTTCCATCTATCCATTTTTGCTCATTTAAGACAATCTTATAATGCACATATATGCCAGGCCCGAAACTAAACTTCCTTGAGGGTTAGATATGTCTTATTCACCTTTTCCTCCCCAGTTCCAGCATAGTCCCTGGCATACAGTTGGTGCTCAATAAATGTATGTGGCATTAGCTAAGTCTGATGTTTTTGGAATTTGGTTGAAATCTGAAACATTATAGCACTGTCTCACTTAGAACGGTACCTTATCTTTCGTCATAATTTTCTAGTGAGGAGAAATGTAGAGGTCACTTGATCATATGCCTTTTACGAGGAAATTGCAGCTCAGAGAGGGAAGTGCACTTGGCAGAAGTCACCCTGCCAGGGGCACCCTGCACCTGGTCTCCTGGCTTCCAGATGCCATCGGGGGCTCCAGGGAAGAGCCACTGAGACTCCATATCCCACCTCAGAGGCAGTCTTTACAGAGGCCTTTCTGCCTCATTGAAAGAATGTTTTCTTTAATTTGTGCCCATTCCTTCTTTCAGTCCCTTCCCCAGATGACGGTACCCTAATCTTAGCGAGGAGACGAAGGCGGGGTGGAAGGCCCCGATGCCTGCTGCAAGCTCTCCAAGCCTGGATGCCAGCGCTCCCACCCAACTCACACCCGGTTGCTGGCAGTGCTCAGCGACCACCAGCGCCCTGAGACCAAACTGGCAAAGCTGCAGCCGCTGCGATGGTCCTGAACGCCTATACCACTTTAAGGGAAACTTTACAAAATTATCTTAATTACCGTGCAGATCTCGTAACCCAGGCACAGTCATATGTTCTCTCCTAGAGCAAATATTTCTGAAATACCATTCCCTCTGTGTCTCTCTCCTGTCCTCACTCAACTTCAGGCCAAAGTTTATCCCTATGAACACCCCCTTCAAAGCGTGGGAAACAGTTCACAACGAGTCTCTGTCGTCCCCCTCTCTGCTTTTTGTAACTCATTAGAACTTCTAGCAAGTACGGGGCAAGAGAGAGGGTGCTAAGTTTGGCTGGCGCCAGGAGAAATATTTAGAAGGGTATTTTCAATTCGATCTAAACCAATCATTGTCGAACTTGGCTGCTCCTTAAAATCACTCCGGGAGGTTTAAAAACTAATGTTGCCTGGATGTCAGGCCAGAAGTCTGATTTAATTGATCTAGGATGCGGCCTGGGCATCTGGATTTTTTTTTTTTTTTTTTTTTCTTAACTCCCTAGATTATTCCCAGGTTAAAAACTACTGAGATAAATTTCTCATTCCCCTCCTGACTCTGAAAAAGTTAGATTCTTTTTCAGGGGACCTGACGCCCCGACGCCCGTCTCTTTGCAGCCCGCCAGAGCCGCACGGTCCCAGAAAATTGGAGCGCGCGACGACGCTAAACACGCGGCGGCGGGCGGGCGGCGGGCGGGCGGGCCCGCGTGGGGCCCCGCCCCCGCACGCCTATCGGCGCGCGGTGCGGGCCCTGACGTCACTCTTGTCAGGCCGCGGCACATGGGCGGCAGGATGCGCTGAGCCCGGCGCTGCGGGGCAGCGGAGCGCGGGGGAGCAGCGGCCGCCGGCTCGGGGAGGAGGGGTGGGGTGGGACGGCCCGCGGCCTCTGAGCTCGCGCGACGCGGCAGGGCGGTGAGGTGCCTTCCGCCCTCTGCAGCTGTCTGCATATTTTTTCTTTCTTTTTCGCAATTTTGAACATTTAACAAGACGAGGGGTTCGAGGCAAGTGAGAGCATCCTGCACGTCGTGGAGGAGCCCGCCGGCACTTGGCGCGCTCTCTGGGGACTGCATTGGGAACCCGAAAGTTTTTTGTTGTTTATATTTTTACGCAGATGTATTTATAAAGACACAAGTAATTTTTTTTCTTCCCTGTCTGCACCGCCTTGAAAGCGAGAACTTTTGGCAAAGGACGGAGGAAAAAGCTCAGCAACATTTTTTGGGGAGGTTGGGGTTTTTTTTTTTTTTTAAGAAAGAAAAAATATTGAGTGCATCGCGATGGAGAAAATGTCCCGACCGCTCCCACTGAATCCCACCTTTATCCCGCCTCCCTACGGCGTGCTCAGGTCCTTGCTGGAGAACCCGCTGAAGCTCCCCCTTCATCACGAAGACGGTGAGCGCTGCCCTTCTGGCTGCCCCGCTCTGGGAAGGAACAACGCTTCCGGGGCCCCCTCCTGGGCCGGGCACCCCCGCTGGAGCATCCATACCCCTCCGTCCCTGCCCCCGGCACCCCGGCCTTGCTTTGATGAAATCGAGGAGCTCACCAATCGCCCCATCCCTCCTCCTCAAAAAGGGGAGGGGACCCCTCGCTGAGCAACGTTTAAAATAGCGTTGGGGACCCGGCCGGGCCTTCCCGGGTCCCGCTCGGGCGGCGCAGGTGGGAGATAGAACTTGACAGGTCAGTGTTCCCTAGATTGAGGTTCACCCGCACGCAGAGTGAAACCGCCTGCACGCAGGCAGAGTAGCGCGGGCTGGGAAGAGAAACCACAGGGCCGGCTTCCACGCGGGTGGGGGCTCGAGTCGGGGGTCTCACTGCGGAGCCTGGGTATTGGGATCGTGCTTATCGTTGCTTTTAGTTGTTAGTGTTTGGAACTCCCGAGGTGAGAGCGGAGACGCCTGTTCTCCCGGGCTGGGTGCTTCAGAAAGGGGGGTGGGGGGGTACTTGGGTTGGCTGGGGGAGTGGTCTCTGGGCGGGATGCCGCGCACGCCCCCAGCGCTGCCACCTTCCCAGTGCACTTTTCCTGGTGGGAGGGGAGAGCGGAGCAGGCTCACGTGTAACCGCGCAGGAGCCTCCTCTGGCTTGAGCCTTTTCTTGGTAAGTCCCAAACCTTCCCCAGGCAACCTTGGTTGGAGCGGGCCAGGAGGGGTCGTGCGAGGAGGCGCCGAACCCAGCTGGTGCCGCCAGGGATTTGTCGTTTGGGTTTCATGCCTTCGATATCATGGTAGCAGATATGAACCGTGCGGTGAACCGTGCGGCTCAGAGTGTAAAGTCTTGAAAGATCATTTGGCTACAAGTAGCCTGGGATTACTCGCATCTTCTTTCCTAGGGCAACCTGTTGCATTACAAGAGTTGAGGGGTTTGGTTCGCCATCTGCAGAATATAGCTTCCCTCTTAACTCCCCTTTAAGGAGGAGCACTTGGGAGGAAGGTGCTGCCTGCAGTCTTTTGCATCTGTGGGTGTTTTAAAGTCAGATTCTTGAGAGATGAGACCGTAGAGAATTAGAATGGATGGCGATGGAGACTGTGTTTCTGTGAGGAAGCAGCTCAGAAGCCAAATTGCTTAATCCCAGATGCCACCCGCACCTGAGTCCTATACTTGTCCAAATCCAGAGCGCTGGTTAAAGACCTAATGGGGTGAGTGATACTTCCAGGTAGAAAGCAGCTGCACGCCTCCATCACAGGTATACAGAGGAACCACCTTTTCTGATATTTGTGCTTTTGATAGGTTGCATACATGTATACTTTTTGAGTTGGATCATACTTCAGTGTTTGGGGAAGAGGAGGAAGAAAACACTTCGCATTTAAAACCAAACCAAAACAAGAAACTCCTTTTGTAAAATACAACGTACCTCAGTGGCTTTAGAAGCAAGCACATGTGGGCTAGGCAGTTCTCAGCTTTCCTCTCTGCAATGTGAGGCATTGGTCAAGCTCCTATCAAGTCTCAGAGCCTCCATTACTTCACTGTAAATGGGGATCGTCGCTATTTGCAAGTTTATTATGAGATTTTTTTGGGGGAAAAATATATGGAAAGAACCAGGTACGTTAGTAGGTGCTCAGTACATGGTATCAAAGAAGGGTGGAGAGTCCCTGCTTTACCAAAATTAGAATTATGAATGCACTGGCTTTCTAAATATGAATGATCTCATATTGTTACTGTAATCAATTTCCTGGAGGATAAATCATGCCTGGTTATTGGCTGTGTTCTTAAAAATCACAGCAATTGTATGTAATTGCAGGTGTTATTTTACCACTGTAGATTTAAATTATTGTCTTCTCAAATAATGCACTGAATCTTGTGCTGTCTTGTTTATATCCCAGATCAGTCTCTAGCCCTGTCCCAGGACTAGTGCTTTCTTTCCAAAGTAAATAGGAAGATGTTGAAAAACAGGCAGAGATCCATGTCCTGCCTGAACTTTTAACTCTAGGTCCACAAGAACCAGCAGCTAGAGAAGAACCCTGGCATTTGTGGGAAATAGTTTTGTAGCAGAAGCCAGGAGGAGTGATTAAAAAAGCAAGACTTTTTCATTTTCTTTTTTAAACTCCAATTTCCTCCCCCCTTTTTGCAGCATTTAGTAAAGATAAAGACAAGGAAAAGAAGCTGGATGATGAGAGTAATAGCCCGACGGTCCCCCAGTCAGCATTCTTGGGACCCACCTTATGGGACAAAACCCTTCCCTATGACGGAGATACTTTCCAGTTGGAATACATGGACCTGGAGGAGTTTTTGTCGGAAAATGGCATTCCCCCCAGCCCGTCTCAGCATGACCACAGCCCTCACCCTCCCGGGCTACAACCGGCTTCCTCAGCTGCCCCCTCCGTCATGGACCTCAGCAGTCGGACCTCTGCACCCATTCACCCTGGCATCCCATCCCCAAACTGTATGCAGAGCCCCATCAGACCAGGTAAACTCTCAGAAGGTTCTCCCTTCAAGCGGGAAGGAGGGAGAGGGTGCGGGTGATATAAACGTCTTAACGATCAGGGGTGCTTTAGCACACTTGAAAAGTGGAGTCTTGTATTTCATTGTAGTGGTTGTCCCACTTCAATGAGCATATCACCTGGAGAGTCAGCTAAAGGCAGATTCTATGGAACCTACCCCCAGAAAGTCTGATTTTTCAGGTCTGGATGAGGCCCAGGGATATGCATTTTTAAACGGCTCCCTGGGGGATTCTAATGCAGCTGATCCAAGGACTGCAGTTTAAGAAATACCAACCTACAGTTAATGATTTGGATAATTTAGGCATCCATCTCATCTTCTGTCTCTTTTCCTCATTCCCCAAATACACAGATAATAGGACCTTGCTGAATGATTTGGGTAGACTGTCTATAAGGCTGTGGTTTACCTATATGCATTGTTCTCTGGCCCAAAGGAAAAAAATGTGAGTCAGGGGTGTGGGGCAGATAGCTTTTCCATCCATTTCATCTTGTGTTGTCGTCGATTGAGAAACTAAATCTCAAAGCAGCTCTCACATTAAGCGTGGCTTAGCTTTCTTCAGCATCAGATCCCGTCTCTCTCTTTTCCCCATTCCTATAAACCAAATTGTTCTTATATATTTTTTTTCATTTTCATCTGTTCACCACATGTAATCCACTTTCACCAAAACCCACAAGGCCCCAAGGCTGGCTTTAAATGGTGTTGAAATATTACACAAAATCGTTACCTGAAATGACCAGTACTTCAAAACCCACCGCCAAATGCTCAGATATAAACACAAGTTGAGGGAGCTCTGTCTTCGTGCCTTTAGCACCCTGTCATACAAAATGAACAGGAAGAAAGGCCGTTTCACGAACGAGTGCAGGTAACCAGGAACAAAGATGCAGCCAGATAAATTGTCAGGAAGGTCGCTGAGCCAAGGGCCTTAGCTGCGGGGAGGACAGAAAGCAGGACAATGGGAGACTTGTGCTAGAGATCATTCCTGAAGTCTATGTCCTCAACTCGTGTAGAATTTCTGTGACACACAGAGCGAGATTAAAATGAAACGAAACGGTGCAGAGGAGGAAGAGAACGCCCCTGCCTTGAAATGTTAGTGTTGGAGTTGAAGCTCTCCCATCAAATCTCTCTGTGCTGCCCCTTCTCCAAAACCCACTTTGAATTATAACTTCAAGGCTACTGGCTGGAATGGCTTTAAGTCTTAGCCTCTGACCACCTCAGAAGGCCACGGAAGCTTAGGGAAACACTACTTTATGTGACCCTGAGCCCCTGTTACTTAGGACACACAGGACGTTTTCCCAGGAACAGACAACAAATTAAATAACCATTCAGAGTGAGAAAACAACCAGGAGGAAGGGGACAGAGCCTCAGTGAGAAGGCGCAGTTATGCCTCAGTCATCTTCTCTGCAGAAGGAGACTGACCACTTCGTAGCCGTGTGACCTTACAAAGTGATACAGTCTTTCCAGTCCTCAGTTTCCCTTTGTGTAGGAGGGTATAATTTCTATTTGATTATTCTATTTGGACTATTGTGAAAATTAGAGACAGTATGTATAAAGGGTCAAATGACAAGCACTAGTTATTTTTTAATGAGAGCAGTTACGATCATTATTCTGTGTCAACTTTCATCATTTATTCCAATTTCTGTCTTCTGAAATACCTTCATAAAGTAATTAGGTACAGTATATAACCCTTTATTCTGGAGAGAAATGTCAGGAGATTTTGACCAATAGTTTTTGGCTTGGGGTATTCTAAGCCTAACACATATACTCAGTTGACAAGTATTTCTCAGTTTTCTCTCACGAACAGGATATGTGCCATGTTAGAAACTCTGTATTTTTTTCCCAAGAGGCATGCAGATATTGGGACCCCACCCTTGGGTTTCTACTGAAAAATCAAGAATTGGGGTTTTGGAGTTTGAAGCTTCCTTAAAAGGCATTTGTCAGGGCTCACAGAATCAGTATTAATTAATGACTTTCAGAAACTTCTGATGCCCGAATCAGGTTTGCAATCCATAACAAAGGACTGCGGAGTTTCAGTGGCTATCATTTTGTTAGTTTATGGAGTTAAAGGCACTAGGATCAAACGGGGCACTGGCATCTAGAAATAAGCTCTTCATTTAAACGTCCTTTTTCATAATGGAAACACTCTTCAAAATAATACCCTTCAATTCATTTAAACTCAGTGATAGTCCTGACAAAAAAGGAAAAGACGTTAGAACTCTTAAAATACCAAATGCAGGTAAAATAACACTGCTTTTCATACAGTGCTTATCATTATAAAGGTGATAATGCAAAGTAAAATTCTAGGGAATGTTGGATGGTATATCACAAGCAAACCTGAAACAGGAGGAAGTTCTTGATTATTCCCTGTAATCACAGTGGTGACCAGAATAGAAATACCAACTTAATCTTGAGGAAAATAAGTCCTCAGAAGGGAAGAGCACAGATGTAGCTGTGAACATTCTGGGAATTGTAAGATTTCAGTCTAGAGCAAGATTTCTCAGCTTTGGCACTGTTGACGTTTCAGGTAAGTCTTTGTTGTAAGGACTGTCCTGTGCATTGTAGGATGTTTAAGGGCATCCCTGGCCTCCAGAAGGCAGTAAAACTACCCCCTCCCACAACCTGTGACAAGTAAAAATGTCTCCAGTTACTGCCAAATGTCCCCTGAGGGCAAAATCACCCCTGTTGAGAACTACTGATCTCGACTTTCGATTTGAATGACAAAATCTGGGCTTAATTCAGGGTCCTGTCACACACATGGATGCTTTTTACCTCCTGTAATGCTTTATGGCAAAACTTTTGAGAAGGTCAGGAGACCTTAAGTTGCCAAGAAGAAATATAATGTTAATAAGAGTATACTTATACACTTTTAGTTGATAAAACTGAGACATCAGACTAATCAGGAGATAATTGCAAAGCAATTTTATTAAACATTTGTTTTCTGCTCTCTGCTCAGCATGCATCTTTTGAGTTACACTCAGTAACATTGTGCCATTAGTGCTGCCTGTGTGATTGAAAGGAAATGAAGCTGTGAGGTGACAAATTATGCATTTCTAGGTTTACCCCAAGCGTGTCTTGGAATGACAAGGTGAGCGTTCTTGTGAATTCTCTTACTATTTACCCTGACTGCCCTCCAACCCCTTTCCTGTTTTACATACTCATCCTTATTCCTCTGTCTAGCTATCTGATCAAAGAATGAATTAAATATCTGAATACAATTTTCCTTGAAGAAATAACCCAGGGATCCATTGAAACCTCCTGTGGCTATGGGGTATTGCTAAGCTTTCTGGGGTGACATCTTAATGAAGGAAGAGTGGTGGTTCCTGGATGCTATAGCCACCTGCACGGGCTTCTCAGTCACCTGAGATGCAGCTTCCTGGACTTTCCCAGGCCAGCCTGGACTTTCCCAGGCAGGAAATCATCTTGACCACTTCGATGTTTGCATGTCAGATGGGAGTGCTTTCCTGGAGGTATGTGCTGCGTACTGGAAAAATAAGAATCAGTTTGCCCTGAGAATTGAGCAATTGCTTTAAGGACAGCAGTCCCTTTAGGGAAGTCATCTATAGCAGACAAAGGCAGAGTTATTTTTAAATCACATGCTTGTAAAGCCAGATTTGAAATTGTTTCCTCTGGTGGTTTTTCTTTGAATAGCTTGGGGGTGTCCTACCACTTTAGACCCGTTTTCAGCTGAGAATTACGAGGCCTCTCTTTCCAGTTCTGAGCACAGAGCCTAGGTTGTGATGAAGGCTGGTTACGGAGTGAAGTGAAAACCCTTACATGTGGTGGTGAGTGGGAAGAGGAGGGCATGAATGGGTGGCCCAAGGAGAGTGAGGAGGTAGGGGAGACCCCATGGTACCCTTGCAGGATGGAATCCGTGTCCTGGAATTGCTGACCTTGCCTTGTAATGAGCTTTTCACATGGAAGGAAGATGCTGGCTCTGGGATCTGAGCCATGGTGGAGGGGAGTTCTGTGCTGGTGGTTCTGGGATTATGAGAGTCCTGCTTAGGAAACAGGCTTCTTTTGGTTCTTCTAGCATCATGAGATGAAGCTTCAGTTTCTCCCTCCCCTTCAGGGCATGCAGTTCATATATTTTCCCTTCCAGCATGTTGATAAATCTGCAGATAGGGAGCGCCCTGATTGAGTTGAGGTGCACTGCTCCCCAAGTATATCTTGAAAGTGCTTTTCATTCATCAGGTTCAAGGAGATCACGAGGGGAGAGAGACAGCTTTGTTCTGGAAGCAAGCAGACTTTTTTCTGTTTCTTGTGAGGGTTTGTCTTCTCCACCACACCTTGTAGAGGACAGGCCTGCCCTGTTCTCTGGGCTTTGTCGTGTGAAATATTCCCAGGACAGTGGATCCTAGCCTTCTGGCAAGAGGTATTCCCAGACAGGTATGGACAGCAAGGGTGACTGGGTGCTTAAGAGTATCAGCTCTGGACCCAGGGACTTGGGTTCACATCCTGGATTTGTAACCAGAGGTCGATTCCTTGACCTCTTTAAGCCTTGGTTTTCTCATCAGTAGAATGGAGACTGTAAATAATCCCCCTTTTGTGGGGTTTTAACAGGGTGTGTGGCACATGCATACTCAGAGCCTGGAGCTAGAATGATGTCGTGGCTTGCAAGTAGGGGAAAGAATGAGTTTTTCCTAAACCCGCTCTCCATTTAGGGATTTCAGGGTGTGTGGCACATGCAAACTCAGAGCCTGGAGCTAGAATGATGTCGTGGCTTGCAAGGAGGGAAAGGAATGGCTTATTCCCAAACCCGTTCTCCATTTAGGGATTTGTTTCATCCAGTGCCCTTCCCTCTGCAAAAATAGGACGTGCGTTTTTTCTTTGTTGTTGTTTTTTTCCCCAGCATGCCCAGGCCCTATTCCATAGAGCCTGCCTGACTTTTCTCCTCTGCTCTGGGTTGAGACGAGCCACTTCCCTGATGTTACCCCAGCAGCTGTGCTTCTGGGTTAGCAACTCCTGTTCCTC